TTTCTTCCCTCTCATTATTCATTGTATCCATCTTTTAGTTATATTACTCTTCCAGTTTTTCTTTCGCTTATCTTCATCTTTTTATTTCTTTATTTTCACATTATATTATTGAATAAATAAACATTAGGTTGTAAAGAAGTCTTCTGGTTTATCTTCGTTTTCTTATTTGTCTTCATCTTATTCTAATAATTGTACATTAGACTGTATAATAAGTATTAACTTTCGCAGTGTTGGTAAAAAACTCCATGAAACAAAATAATTTTCTTTGTAACAAATAATATTAAATATTAAAACCAACATATTTTTCTATTAGATAAGATACATATTTTTTGTTATAGAATATTGTTTAGAAATAAAATCGTGAATAATATTAAATATTAATATTAAATATTAAAACTAACATATTTTCTGTTAGATAAGATACATATTTTCTGTTATAGAATATTGTTTAGAAATAAAATCGTGAATAATATTAAATATTAACAACATATTTTATTTATGTTTTATTATTCAGATAAAATCGTGAATTTAGTTTTTTTTTAATATTACAACTTATATTTTAATTGATTTATATTTTTGATTTAAACATTTTTTTTTCTAGAAAAAATTAAAACAAATTTAAGAAGGGATAAAAGGTAATTAACCACCCTGAAATTGAATGAAAGAGCTTTAAACGAAATATTCAGATAAAATCGTGAATTTAGATTTTTTTTAATATTACAACTTATATTTTAATTGATTTATATTTTAGATTTAAACAATTTTTTGTTGTTTTTCTATTTTTTTTAAAAAAAATTAAAACAAATTTAAGAAGGGGTAAAGGGTAATTAGCCACCCTGAAAATGATTGAGAGAACTTTAAATGAAATTTTTACTTCGCTTATAATATATATGATGATATAGTTTTGTTTGATTGGGATACAGTAACTCATCTCGTACCGCTGCAGTAATAGATATATACCACTTTAATAATTATCCATTGTAGAGAAAATTGAAAATATAACACACAAAAATTAAAGTACTTGTCCTCTTAATATTTTTATAAGATTTGGCAATTTTAAACAAATATTTTTATTTTTTGAAATATATATTTATATATACATTTAATTTCTAAAAATTCTAAAAAAAAATAGTATTCCAAAAATATCATTTTAAAAAATACATATATTTAATATTTATTTATAAATATAATATAGAAAACGTTCTACGAACGCTATCTCTCTTAAGTTCTAACTATTTTAATATCGCTTATTGGTTCTCTTTTCCCATTGCCCTTCCTACTTTGTGTTACCAATCGAACATGATTAAGAATATAATAATAATGGAGTATATCATAACTTTTTCAGTTTTTCATCCGAATTCTGGTTGGATAACTCAGTTAAGAAGAAGTAAATAAATTTATTCTGGCAATTCGAATAAATTCTTTTATTTTGATTTTAAATAAATATATTTTTCCTTTAAAATTTTTGTTTATCTTTTTAAAAAATAATAATCAGAGTATATATCTTACCGAAGCACAAATAATTTCGGAACCTATAGAAGCTGGATACTTTTACCATTTAAGACGTATATATTAAGATAAAAAGCACAAGCATTTTTCATATATGGTAGAACTTCATCCTTAATCTTGATCCACTAGACAACTCATCTACCTACTCAAACTTGTTTTGTATTGAAAATTAAGTGTTTCGGTTGAAAAAGATAAATAAACTATATAGTATAAATCGAACTAAAATTCGTTTTTGCTCAAATCGAATCACTCCCTCGCATTGGATACTTCGTTTATATCTCTTAAATTATCACCTATTGATCGGTCCTTTTCGATTTTTCTGTCTTTTGACAACATAAAAAGTGTGTTCCTCTTTTGGGTTTGATGATGGATTAGACCTAAAGACACATGAAAGAAAGAAAGACAACTTGAATAAGAGAACTTTCATACTTTTTTCGAGGTACGTACAACCTTAATTTTATATGAAAAGGGCATCGTACGTACATTGCATGTTACATCCCCTTTACGCGGATCATGCATTAAAATATCAACTCTCGTCGAAGCTTAATTTAAGCCAAATTCATCTTCAACTTCAAGCTATCCCATGCACTATTCATGGTCCATGCTGCTCTAGTCAACTCTTTCTTCATTTCTCTTTTATTATTTTATTTATTTTGTTCTTCCTCCTGTATTCTCGTTTTATTTTCCATTTTGTTTTTGGTTCAACCGTCTATTTGTTTTATATTCTAAGTTTTTCTTTCTTCCGCTATATGGCTGTGTTCGGGTTTTGACCATCACAAAAAATAAATATCATCTCATGATGACTTACGTACAGACTAAATATTTGTGTAGGTATATGTGTGTTTACAATTACAACAAGCAGAAGATACTTGAATTTAATGTCCTACTAAATTGGTTTCACAAACAAACAAAACTGTCCTAATAAATTCTAAAGTTTAGATCTTTGTACGTAATTTGTATTGGTCTTAATCGTTAGGAGATAAGATTGCAAGTGATGCGCTGTTGAAAAACTTATATGCATTGACCCTTTAATCTTGGATCCTAAAAATCGGTGATCATCTTTTGCATTTTCTTTCTATACTGTTTTAGTGTTTCTTTTTCTCGTAATAATTTTTAGTTTTCGAAAAACAAATTTATTGTTTGCAAAAGTATTACCGAGACAAGAAGAAGTGAAGGTGCTTAGGTAAGTAAGACCGTGAGACTGTGAGAGTAGATGTGGTTAGCTAATGAATGGTGAAACCAATTTGATAGCATAGCATTTGAATTACACTAACAAACGTACGTTAAGAAGGACTGTCTAGGGGTGTTAACGTTACACCACTTCAAGATTGGATTTTTCCTAAAAAAAATTTTAAAAAATAATTATGTACTTTAACAAAAAAAAAAAACAAACGTACGTTTAAGTTCCGAGTTATGCAGAAAATTAAAAATTAGATTGGTTTATATATAAGTTAGTAGATATATGCTTCTTTATAAAAGTTAGTTGCAGAGCCGGCTTTGGCCCAAGTTCATGAAGCTTAATTAGTCGTACATCTAATTTACTTAATAAGATCTTATTGATAGCTCAATATATAGCAAGGAACGTAAAGGTGCATGTAAAGTTGTAGTACAACTATATGACGCACACATTTTTTCTTATTATTATGCCGTATTTCGAATTTCGAACCAAACTTGTATATATATATATATACATATGTGCAAATTTTATTGATTATTCCGATCAGTTTTTTTGTACACATCGAAATGTTATAGTCAGATCACCTAATACTAGATTACCATATAAACTGTTTAAGTTTTTGGCCCAAACTCAAATTTCCCACATAATTATTTTTTTAAAATTCTTTTAGGAAAAATCCGATCTTCAAGTGGTATAACACCCCTAGACAGTCCTTCTTACCACTAGACCACAACTATGTGGGTAACTTGGCATATTTCATACAATATATATATAGAATTAAAATTTTTATATAGCTTATAACTGAAATTTGGAGATTTTCCAACTTTTCCTTCACAAACTACAATAACATACAATAGCTATAATAACACACGCAATGTATATGTATATTCTTCGAGCTGTGCATAATAATTAATTTAGTAATATAGAACCGACAGTTACCTTTATTATATTTCGACAACAAAAAAATGATATGAATATTTTACCAGTTGACCAAAGTTAAAATAGTGAATAAAATAAACTTACTTTAAAAAGAGGGGATCCCCATTCCACGCCCACGCACACACCACCACACACCCTATAAACGTGGTCGGCGACTCATTAGCATTCAATGCGTTTTAACTGTCTTTATTATCATCATCCCCACAGTTTCTTCCATTTCCGATTTTTACCCGTTATTTTTTTTCTTTCATATTTGTATTTTGTCCCCATAGAAATTGCGCAAAAGACTTGTCATTTCCAAGATTAAAAACATACACTATATGATATTGATGGCTAGTTTGGGAAGTGCGTATATTGGTTTGTAATTAGTTGTGCAAAATTAATTCGATCTTAACTTTTTTGGACCACATTCGTTTGATTAGCAATTATTTTTGGACCAACTATTAATTTTTTAGATATGCTAATATTTGTAGGACAGTTTTTTTCCTCTCTTATTTTGGTTTCAAAATAATCTAGTTTATAATTAAAAAAAAAAAGACGACGATAATTTCATTGTTTTAGACTTTTAGTAGTTTGTATGTAAGTGGACCCTATAATTTTCCTCTCGAAGACAACCGATAAAGTATCGAACTAAACATCAATCAAAATCTGTATATACTCTTACTCGTCGTGTGAGTTCTCCATCATTAGTTTTAGTTTACTAAAATTAATTTTTTGGAACTTCTAATCATTTAATGAAACATTCCAACTTGGAGATATTATAGTAGTTGGAAATAAAAATAATAGATAACCATTCCAAGAGAGTATAATACGCAATATTAAACGGATCTCCATCACATAGTTTATTGTTCGGTAAATGTAAAAGTACGTATATGTAATGACGTTTCGGTTTCGTTTGGTAAAAAAAATTGATGATAACATTTAAATACACACAAGTGGAACAAGACATGTAATCACGTACCTATGTCTGTGTGTGTTAATCTCCGATTACACACAAACTTTGACTTGTGTTATATGATTTAACCCCAAAAATACTTCTTCTTAAAAATTAATTGAAAACAATCAAAAGCTTTGACTCATACTCTTTTGTGACTAAATTTTTTGTTGACGCGGACACGCGTACGTATACTTTTCAAATATACTATTCATTTTGTACACTTGATTGATAATCTCATTGAATGTATAATTATGCAAGCTGTACGTTAACGATAACGATCAATGGCAATTTTTCGTAAATACTCAACACGTTTATGGGTAACTTCGTCATGGTCTAGCTATATAAATACCCCCTCAGCTGTTCTCCGACATGCAAAGTGTCTAAAACCAAACACACACACAGAAAAAAAAAAGATAAGAAGAAAAGCTTCGCACAAAAATGCCCGTTAAGATTTCAATTTTCCAGTCTCTTGCATTTCTTTTTAACCGGTTTATCCTCAGGCGATACCGGAATCCTAAACCAAAATACCAAAAATGCCCTTCTTCTCTCCTCCAATCCGACCTATCACGCGACACATTGATCTTCAACGTAGAAGGAGCTCTTCTCAAGTCCGACTCTCTCTTCCCTTACTTCATGCTAGTAGCGTTCGAGGCCGGAGGGGTAATAAGGTCATTTCTACTCTTCATTCTCTATCCATTGATAAGTTTGATCATGAGCCGCGAGATGGGTGTTAAAGTGATGGTGATGGTGAGCTTCTTTGGGGTCAAGAAAGATGGTTTTAGAGCGGGAAGAGGAGTTTTGCCTAAGTACTTTCTAGAAGATGTCGGGCTCGATATGTTCAAAGTGTTGAGGAAAGGAGGGAAGAGGATTGGTGTGAGTGACCATCTTCCTCAAGTTATGATCGAAGGATTCTTGAGAGATTACTTGGAGATTGAAGTTGTGGTCGGGAGAGAAATGAAGGTCGTTGGTGGTTATTACTTAGGAATCATGGAGGATAAGACCAAACACGATCTTGTCTTTGATGAGATGGTTCGTAAAGAGAGACTAAACACTGGTCGTGTTATTGGCATCACTTCCTTCAACACATCTCTTCACCGATATCTATACTCTCAGTTTTGCCAGGTCCGTAATTTCGGTTATCTTCTTTTGTTTGGAATTACGTTTACATTTAAATGAAATTCTATCTAATTTATATTAGCGTCGTTTTAGATATTTCTCACACAACTTCAAAAGGCATGCTAAAATTCGATTATAAGTTGACTCTTTTTTTTTGTGTGCAAATAAGTTGACTGATCTTCATTCTATTATGTTATATGTATATTGTTTAATTGTTAGTTTTGAATACAAATTAAATTAGGTATTTTAAAATGTTAAAATGACACTTGCTAAGAAGTACAAATGTAACCGTGACATAATCTTTTAAAAGGAGGGAATATTTGATAGAATAGAAACATTTATTAACAAAAATTTCTATTAATAGATAAAAAATGTAATCGTATAGAATATCCTTTTTTGGGTGCTTGAAGCGAATGATATGACTTGTCCCGACTCCTGATTAGCAAAAGCGACATAGCATATATGAATAGTTAAAGTGGTGACGGTGAGACACACCTAGTTGCATTAATATAATATTCCTTTTAACTTGCGATCACGAGATTTATAAAATATGAAAGAGCAACAAAAACAGATCAAGGCATATATCACATTAAATACGAATAAAGAAACGACGACATAATCTGTATGCATAGTTATTAGCATGACAGTGATATACAACTTGTGGTTTTGAATTTTTAACACTTTAAAAAAACTGATCTTGTTAGGTGTTTTTCATTCATTGTTTTCATGCTATAGATTTCTTGTCATTTTCTGTCTTAACATATATACATCTTTTTCTCTTTTATATAAAAACAGGAGATTTATTTCGTGAAGAAATCCGACAAGAGAAGCTGGCAAACCCTACCACAAAACCAATACTCTAAACCATTGATTTTCCACGATAGCCGTCTCGCAATCAAACCAACACTAATGAACACTCTGGTCTTGTTCATGTGGGGTCCATTCGCAGTTGTAGCCGCAGCAGCCAGACTCTTTGTCTCTCTTTGCATCCCTTACTCCTTCTCAATCCCGATCCTCAGTTTCTCCGGTTGTAAACTAACCGTCAATATCGACGACGTTTCATCTCAAAAGTTATACTCAAGCACACGCAAAGGTTGTCTCTTTGCATGTAACCACAGAACTTTATTGGACCCTCTCTATGTTGGATTCGCTCTGAAAAAGAAAAACATCTCAACTGTAACGTACAGTTTGAGTAGAGTATCAGAGATCTTGGCCCCGATCAAGACCGTTAGACTGACCCGTGATAGGGTCAGCGATGGTCAAGCCATGGAAAAATTGTTGACGGAAGGAGATCTCGTGGTTTGTCCTGAAGGAACCACTTGTAGAGAACCTCACTTGCTTAGATTTAGTCCTTTGTTCGCAGAGGTTAGTGACGTCATCATTCCCGTGGCTGTGACGACACACGTGACCTTCTTCCACGGTACTACGGCAAGTGGCCTCAAAGCATTTGACCCGCTTTTCTTCCTCATGGATCCTAATCCTACCTACACCGTCCAATTTCTCGACTCTGTCTCCGGTGTCACGTGTCAAGATCCTGACGGGAAGTTGAAGTTTGAAGTGGCTAATCTTGTTCAGGGCAAGATTGGCAAGGCGTTGGATTTCGAGTGCACCAACCTCACTAGAAAAGACAAGTATTTGATCTTGGCTGGTAATAATGGCGTCGTTAAGAAAAACTAAATTTCTTTTTAGGATTATTGAGTGATAATTAATTATATATATTTCGTTTTTGTGTGTAAGTACTAAATAGCCAATGCTTCATTCATTTTTCTTTAGTTATTAATAATATGTACTTACATGTTACTATATTTTTATTTGTAATGTACAATATATCTTTATGGTTTATATAATCCAAAATCTTATTTAGATAATTTCGCCTCTGCCATTCTATCACATTTATAAAACAATGGTCCACAACGAAAATAACAGGAAAAAATAGAAACTATACAAATGATTTTATTATTTAGCAATCATTTATATTTAATTGGGACACGTCAAAAGTTGTTATTTAATTCGTGGGTTGTATTGGTCCGCACATGCGTCATAAATGTTATAACGGTCTAGCCCAAATAATGTTAGCAATAGCAATCATATACAGGCATAAACAGCCTTGTATATAAGATATGCAGGGTTGGTATAACTGTAACTATAGCGTTTATTGTTTCTTTGTCAACTGGAATAATCAGTTCCATCGACAAAATGATTTCGGATAAGCTAATTTCCATCTAGAGCTACAACGACATGCTCGTTTTTTGGTTCCAACCTCTGGACGTACTGTGTTAAATGCTATTCTTTTTTTGTTTTTTTTTCATTTCAGATAAGCATGTCCTTTTCGATTATAAAACAAAATTTACTGATAAGAATCGATAGTCCGTGAAACTAAATTACTATTAAAATTCTTTCCAGGGATACTTTGGATATTGATTTCGCATATATGAGTCAAAGTTTGATCGTCTTAATCTTGTCTTTTACTATATAGTTCCGGAACCTTTGATGCTGTCTTTTACTTCTTACTAGGTAAACATGTAACACAGTTTTTCATTTTCAAAAGTTTGGAAAATTTAGGATGGGAACGAAATTAGATAGGTAATCCGTTTCAAAAAAGTCATGCCCACTTTCAGCTTATGCATTTTCAATCTTTTCTCTGTTTTCATAGAAGAGCGAAGTCGCAGCAAAAAGGATGTAATGTAAACCATTTTTTCGTTTCTTGGTTACATTAAAACCCAAAAAAAATTAATTTAATCAAACCTTTAATAATTATGGCATATATTCGACATATTAAAGCGTAAAGTTATTGTTTTACGTTCACTAGGACCTACGGGTCTAGAAACCATGTGAGCATCAAGAGCATGTGAAGTGAAAAGATAAAAAAAAAGCTAGTCAATCGACAGTTGTATTATTAAAACTTTATATAACTCAGATTTGTTAAAAAAATTATTAGTTCCGGTTTTGCACAAGTATATAGACTTCAGAATCAATTCCACTTGATAGGCAAAAAAAAATATATATATATCGACTTCTGAGTCAATTCCACTTGATAGGCAATGATATGTTATAATATTTCATTTTCTCTAAAGAAAACAATAATTTGTACTGTTGTACAGCAGAAATCATTTGTCCTTAGCCCATATGGAATTTACAGATTTAGATGTGTCTGTGGTGGCCATCACTGTCGCATTTTCTAACACAAATGTGACACAAATGTGTTGTAAGAGGAAAGTGGGAAAACAAAAAAAAAAAGTCGAACAAAACATTGATTGGTCGACTAAAAGTCAAACTAAACAAAAGGTAACGCAATTCACACGTGTCCTCTCTCGTTAATGGACTGGGTCGTAAGAAAAGCGTCATTTAAGTCGATAGGCCCATCAATTGGGTCCACCGTTTTCATTTTCTGATCTGGTCCTTTAGTTAAAAATCGTAAAAGAGTAAGGACCAATCTGTAAATTATCGATTTGTCTTTTTTTTTTTTTTTAGTTTGTATGGCCACAGAAACATAAACTCGCTCTAAAAATCACAAAAACGATGGCTTCTCTCGCGACTTCCATCGCCGGAAATGGAAGCTCCAAATTTCTGGTTTCAACATGTTCAACGAGAATTGGGGTTCCTGTAATCTCCGATGAAAATTCGAGATTCCTCTTCTTTGCTGCTAACAGTCACCGTCCGATCCTTAGAACGGCGATCTTGCGCCGATTGGCGATAAATGCTTCGAACCAAGGAGAAACAACGGCTTCACCTTTCGCCTCGGTTGCATCACCGGGTCTGTACTCAGCTCAGACTTTCGATTTGACTCCTCAGAATGTCGATTTGGTCCTAGAAGATGTTAGGCCGTTCCTCATCGCCGACGGTGGGAACGTCGACGTTGTTTCCGTTGAAGATGGCGTGGTTTCTCTCAAACTCCAAGGTTAGTTTTTTCTTTATTATTCCTTTGAGTTTATTGATTTCGTTTGACAAGATTGAAACTTTTTTTGGATTTGAGTTGTTGAAATCTATCACTGATCAGAGTTGGGTACATCTATTGGCGTTTAGGTTTTCTGGATTTTTGTAATTCTCTTTAGAACCCTAGATTCGAGCTTGAGACAGGACTACTCTATGAAACATTTGGCTTATTGGTCTTTGATTATGCTCACTTATGATTGAAATGAGATCTTGCTAAAAAAGTTCACTTTCACTTACAGGAGAGTTACAAATTATGTGTAGTCAGTGAGTTTACATGTATGATACTTCAGGAGAGTTACAGTATTGGTAGATTCGGTTAGTTCCTCGTGTTAGAATCGCTTTGCCCTTTTAGATTCCAAAGAGAACATCTGCAGGAGCAATCATGTTCACATGTTATGTGATTGTGCTTATGTTGAGTTTTTTTTTTGTATATTGTAGGAGCTTGTAATAGCTGTCCGAGTTCTTCAACGACCATGACGATGGGAATAGAAAGGGTACTCAAAGAGAAGTTTGGAGATGCTTTGAAAGATATTCGACAAGTTTTTGATGATGAAGTTAAGCAGATAACTGTGGAGGTGAGTGACGCTACTACTAAGGAAATTCGAGTGTTATGCTTTGATAATCTCTTGATGGATTGGTTTTGGTTTTTGCAGTCAGTGAATGCTCATCTCGATATACTGAGACCAGCGATCAAGAACTATGGCGGAAGTGTGGAAGTTTTATCAGTCGAAGGCGAGGACTGTGTTGTAAAGTACATTGGACCAGAATCTATTGGAATGGGAATACGAGCAGCGATTAAAGAAAAGTTCAAGGACATTTCTAATGTAACCTTTACAAGCTAGAAAGCATGAAGAAAGCCAATATTTTATACATATGTAAAAAAGAAACTATAGCTCTTTGTTTTGGCTAATGTCCACTTCAGTCATAGTCTCCGCAACTGTCTTGAGCCATCTTGCAAGGTTTATCAAGAACGGTGTGTAGACAAAGTAGCAAGTTGTTGTCCAAGTGACCAATCCCTTTTCCAGAAAACAAAAGAAAAAAAAACACTCTTTTATGTTGTTTTTGCCTGAAGAAGATTCGTGAATAAAGAGTATTTACCTGGCCAAAGATCTCTATGTTTGCTTCTGGATAGTACCACAGATGAAAGAATCTGTTAAAAGTCATGTTATGTCAATCTTTAGACTTCTTACTCAGAAACAAAGAGATGGCTAAGGAATTGAAGCGCGGGGTTATACTTACTGCATAATGGGGATTTCGGCTAAGGGGCAGGCGATACCGAGGAGAGAGGCAATGGTGAAGCCAAGCCAGGTTCTATCCAAAGAGAACCAAAGAAATTCTGCTAAGGCAAATAGAATGTAAGCTTCTATATTGGCTGAAACTCCAGCTTTGTACATTTCAGCACTTAGCTCTAAGAACATCACAAGTGCTCTGTTTTACTCACCAAACACACAGGTTTTAGTTTTCAGTTTTTCACATCCAGTATGGCAGTATCCATACTTGTCATACGTAAACCATACAACACAAGAGTACTACTTACAACAAGGAAACTACGGTTTTGCCCATTTGGCCACGTGGAGGTTCGATGGAGGTTTTTTCATCCAATAGTAGTTGCAGTAGACCTACTGTGCAGTAAAATAAGCCAAGCAAGAACGGGACCTGAAAATACACATTACACGATTGCAATGCTTGTCAAACGATCTTTAAAATCTTGGTTTTGAGAAGTTTTCATTTTACCCAGATGTTGGTATGAAGAGGACCGATTTGAAAAGCTCCGGTTTTGTAAACCACGAGATCCACGCGTGAGTGGAGACCATCGAGGAGAGGACCCAAGAAGAAGCCTGAACCAAAAAGCGAGAGACTTGTTGGGACGATCCAAGATTTTCCGGTACCGGTTTTGCTCTGTGGCCTCTGACTCACGCACAGGAACTTTCGAACCAGTGACCGGTTTGGTCCTTTTGGTTTTAATAGTCTGGTGAGAGTCGTTGAAGGAGAAGATATCGCTAAGACAAACATCTTCCACTCTCGTCCACACAAAGTATTGAAGGAACACTTTGAGGAAGAAACAGAAATAAATGCACTCGAATAAACAAAAAAAAAAACTAGTATTCTAGCATCTCCAACCCATTACTCCATTTTTTAACTCGATAATGGACTTGGTTACTCTCCAACCCTACTCCATTTTTTACTCCATAAAGAATATTTTAAATATATTTTCTTTCCACTAAATTTATAAATTATTTACAGATATATCATTTTATTTATCAAACTTATGAATCGAACCCAATAACTTTATTTTAGTAATTTATTTTCAATAAAATGAAAACTGTTATTTTAATTTAAGAATAATTTTATAAATAAATATATTACATTACACAACATAATAAAAACAATCTATTCTATTAAAACAAAAGCACATTTAGTACTTGCTTCCAAACACTTCTAATTTTTTTAAGTGTTTAAAAATAATTTTAATAATTATTTATATTTAATTTCGAAAATTAGTTATTAATTTAAATATTTTTAGAGTTCCTTAAATATAGGTAATTTAGATTTGATTTGATTTGATTAAAAATAATAAATCAAATATTAATTTAGATTTGATTTAAAGATTCTAATTTAAATAATTTTTATACTATTAAACATTTTTATCAAAAATGTGTAGAATTTTTGAATAAAAAATTCACATATGAAAAATAATGGTCATATTTGAAATATAAAATATTTATAATGATGTAAATGATATGATATTTATGTTGTTTATATAATATATTTATGATTATGATTTATTTACAAATTAATAATAAAATAATAGGTAAAATTCAAATGTATAATTTACATATTAAAAATAAATTTTTTAAAAATTCATAGAACTAAAAATATCGAAAATATTTTGGTAACTAAAATCATTAATTTTGAATTATACATGTATATCGAAAATATATTTTTCATACAAAATAAAAACATAAAAAATTAAAAATTATTGCATACACTAAAATGTGGTTTGAAAAACCAGTTGTACACTTCTTTCGTTGATTAAATTTTAGAAAACTATAATGCTAAATAAAACTGTTAATACATCTCTAACTTTTAACAAATATTTATATTATACGGTAATATGAACGGAAAATTTAGAATTATGTTTTTATAATAGTTTATTTTGAATTAATATTAGCGGACGGGTTAAAATTATATTTTTATAATCATAATTAATTTTAATACTATAAAAATATATCTAAACACAAAAATCAACATTTTCACTTATTAAACAATATATTTATAAAAATAATTATATCTAAACTCAAAAACACAAATTATATTACAAAATTTGTTAAACAATAAAAAATATACCTGTGCGGATGCACAGGGTTAGAATCTAGTAATAACTTAAGAAGATAACATAATTTAATTTAATTATCATCATTAGTATATTTTTCCCACAAATGATCAATTAATGCATTTTGAAGTGAAAAATGAGTTTCTTTATCTTTGATTTCTCTAAATCGAGCAAGAAACTCTTGGAATCGAATATTATATGTTGTTATGTTTTATCTATTTTTATGTATTTGTAATTTTAAAGTTAATTTGTTGTTGTGTTTTATCTATTTTAATGTTTTTGTAATTTTAAAGTTAATTTGTTATTGTATTTTTCTTTTTTTATGTATTTTAAATTTTAAAATTTGTGTGTTATTGTATTTTTATTATATATTTGTTATGGTTGTTTTTTAAAAGTTTTCATATTCTAAAATAATTAGTTTTATCATTTATAATAAAATTTATATGTAAAAAATAACAAAGTTTTTGTTTAAGACTTATCTGATAACATATAATAGGAGAGGGATCAAATTATAAATAAAAAAGGATCCACTTAAAAATGGAGGTGATGAATAGTGTCACTCCATATATAGAGGCGCACTGTTCATATCTCCATTTTGGAGATGGAAATGGAGTAGGGTTGAAGAGGATTTTACTCCAAAATGGAGTTTGGAGGTGGAAATGGAGTAGGGTTGGAGATGGTCTTAAAAGTACAGATAGTCATCATTTACATAGATGAGTATAATTAATTAATTAAAAAAACTGAAATTAACCAAAAATTAACAGAGTTGATCATTGAAATTACAAAGAACATTAAAAAAAAATCAGTAATTTTTTAATAGAGCCAAACCGAACCAAACCTAAATAATTTCGGTAATGGTCAAACATACTTTTTACACAACCGAAAATTCTGAAATCCCACAAATCAATAGCTAGATACCGGTCCTGTTCGACAAGAATAGTTTGAACAATATAAATGGGGAGAATGAATTACACAACATACTGCTAAAGAAAGAATAGAGAGTCAAATTAAACAGTATAAATCAATTGGACAATTAACTAGTTAAAGCTCCTTATTCTAATATTAAATTACATATTAAATTTTGTTTTCAATCTTAGTTTCTTCTTTGATTGTGAAACCACGCTCAGCCTCATCAACACGGATATCAGTCATCCCGCACAGCACCAGCACATTCTTGTGCCATGATATCAGTCAGGTAAATAATACCAGGAGCAGCCACCAGGTAGTCAGTGAGGGTTGATTTCACTGTTGATCAAGAAATAAATATACATTAGTATAATTCCAATTAACTCATTAGACAAAAGAAAAAATAACTACAATATATAAGGGGATAATTCTTTTGGTTACATGCAAAAAGTGATGAGAATAATGAAAGAGAGCTCAAGATAGTACCATGGTCAACGTGGGACATATCGCGGATCTTTTTTTTGTAGTCCATAATCCTACGAAGCTCATTGGCTGTGAACTTCACCTGCAAGTTTACAAAAATGTATTTAGCTTAAAACTCCAGACAGCAAGAAGCCTTATAAAGGTTAAGAAATAAATAAATAACTAGTCTTACCATTTTGATATTGTCAACTACAAAATAATATCTCTGCAAATCATAGAAACAAGAATTCATTTCAATAAAACGATTGAAATATTTGAATACAGAATAGATTCTAATTTCCAAAGAGAGAAATTGAAAGGTATGTTGATTCTTTAATATCAATCAAGGTAAATCATATCGAAAAAACTTAAGTAAGTGAATATGTCAAGAGACTCAAGACTGACGCAGCGGTCAAATATAATTTTCCAAAGGTATAACGAAAAAAGAGAAAGAAATATACCTTTCAATTCTCTAAGGACCCCATACGAAATTACTTTATTGATCAAACTGTTAATTGGGGAAACTATTCATCAGTAGACTACCATTCAAAGCTATTGCGGTATACTAATATTCAAAGCTATTGCGGTATACTACTATTCAAAGGTATTGACTGCATGGAATTTCTACATAATTTTATTAGAAGAGTTATAGATGAGGTTAATTGGTATGGCATGGAAATTATACCCTCGTTTTCAAATTAATGAGTTATATTGGTACTAAGGGAAATTGCATTATATAATCAACAAAAAATTATATTTAATTCAATAACCAAAAAAAGAGACCTCTAGAAGTGTTTCAACAGAATTATTTTTTTTTAAATGTAAAATTTTTAAATTCTTTTTATAAAGATATTATTGACTTATGATTTAATAAAAAATTTTAGAAAACATGAGTTGGTTTTCAAATGATATATGTAAAAATTAGATTATTAAACCAAATCTTTATGGTTTAAAAAAAATCATTTGAAAACCAAATCTTTATGGTGTACAAATTAGATGATGTCAAAACAAAAAGAAAACCAAATCTTTATAAAAACAACAAATCATGTGGCCGTTATCAGTTCCCTTACGTAGTTATCCTTTGTCCTTTGAAAACGGAAATCGAAATGCGAATTTGATAAAACGTGTTAAAGACACAAAGGTGAAAGATGTATTACTTTATTATTGTTATATTAATCTATCTTAGTAAGCAGCACATGGTATTTTCTTGATTCAGATACGCAAAAATGCCGCTTTTGCAAAGAATATATATCAAGTGAATAGTGCGTTGACTCTTAATATTATGGTATATTTTCCCACATTCAAAACCGATCCGAACTTGTTAACTTAGCACAACATCTTCTCGCCGATTTGTGTTCCTCTTCTTGTAAAGCAATGGCGCAATGGAACAATGGCTCTTTCTCTCCCAATCCTACTTCTTATTCTTCAATCTCAAACCGTACCATCTCTCTACTCAGCCGCAATGTTCTCCTTCTCCTCCTCGCCTTCTTCGTTCTCCTTGGTGTGTTCATCATACCCTGGACAGGATCTCCCTTATTCCCGTTTCCAAACAGAAGCTCTTCTTCTCCTTCTTCTTCTTCTTCTTCTTTGCCCTCCAACTGGCACGACTACTCCCTGGCTCAAGCGGCCAAGTTCGTCGCTAAGGACGGGACAGTGATCGTCTGCGCCGTTAGCTATCCCTTCTTGCCTTTTCTCAACAACTGGTTGATTAGTGTTTCTAGACAGAAGCATCAAGACAAAGTGCTCGTGATCGCCGAGGATTACGCTACTCTCTACAAGGTTAACGAGAAATGGCCTGGCCACTCCGTTCTCATTCCTCCAGCGCTCGATTCTAAGACCGCACAAAATTTCGGTTCCAAGGTATACTTAGTTTTCATCATACTTAGATCTTGGATTCTCTACCTGTTTCCTAATATATCACTTTTAATAACTCGGATTATAGTTCTGTCTAGTCCCTGAGGTTTAGGTTCTTTTATTTATTTTGAGCTGATCCTATTAGTAATTAATAAAAACAAAAAAAATTATGAACTAGTGGAGGTAGTAGCAGCCAATTTATATTTTCTGCTTTTTGATAGAGTTTTGAATGATTCTGTATCCCATGTTTCTTTATTTGATCTGTTTAAAAAAAAAATGTCTCTTTATTTGATGATGATCATCGCAAAGATGTTGTTCAATTTTCAATGAAAACGTACCTTGTTACTTAAGTCATCATTTATCCAATTTAGGGTTTCTTCAATTTTACGTCTCGGAGGCCGCAACATCTCTTGCAAATTTTGGAGCTAGGTTACAATGTTATGTACAACGATGTTGACATGGTCTGGTTGCAAGATCCGTTCCAGTATTTGGAAGGAAGCCATGATGCATACTTCACCGATGACAGGACTACAGTATGTGGAATTCACACATTCCCTTCACATTTTTGAATGGTTGCTACTTGCTAGATATCAAATCTTATACTAAATCGAATTTGATTTTCTTGACTCCAGATTAAGCCTTGGAATCACTCGCATGATTTACCACCTCCAGATCGAAACGGAGTGACTTATATATGTAGCTGCACCATTTTCTTGCGACCCACTAATGGCGCAAAGCTTCTCATGAAGACATGGATTGATGAGCTTCAAGCTGGGTCTAAAGCATATGAAGGAAATGATCAGCCTGCCTTTAACTGGGCTCTTAACAAAACAGCTCATCAGGTATTGTTGGCTTCAACAAAATGTCTAAAAATAGACTCAACAACCTTTTTTGTTTATTCACTTGTTTGAATCCATTTTCAACCTCATACTTTGTGATCTTTCATTTCTGCAGGTGGATCTCTACTTGCTTTCTCAGGCAGCATTCCCAACAGGAGGATTGTACTTCAAGAACGAAACATGGGTTAAAGAGACAAAGGGGAAACATGCCATAATCCACAACAACTACATTATCGGTTACGACAATAAGATGAAACGCTTTCACGACTTTGGTCTATGGCTAGTCGATGACTATGCTCTTGAGTCACCATTGGGAAAATTAGAGTAAGTTCGAATGCGTGAAAGAAGAGATGATTGTTCGTCTCTCTTTTTCTCTCTCTTTTGTTCTTTTTGTTCCTTGAAATTTCAGGCTGCGTAAAGAAAACAAAAGATTCACAGAGTAATATATTTACATGTTTTTATATGTCGGGATTTAAATTAGACATGGCTAATCTTAATTTGCCTTGAATTTGGTACTTGTTACATATCGTTAGAATAAGATAGTATCATAATATGAACACGTTTTGCAGATCAAATTCAAACCATGTGACTCAGAAATTAGCTGAAGATCAACAAAGCATTATGGTTTCAAAATACGGAAGAAGCAAAAGGATAAAAAAAACAGAGACTTCATGTTTTTATTAGGAACAGAGTGAGAACCACGACATATGTTTCTGCATAATTCATGTACAATTAAAACACATCTTGATAGATTCAACAGGAAACTAAACACAGACTCCATTCATTATTAGTAGCATAAATTCTCGATCTTGAGACCGAAAATGATAATGCTATTCTCGAGCTCTGTTTGTTCCTAAGATGGTGAAAGCATATCACCAGTCATCTTCTCTGCTTTTTCTCCACGCTCACCTGAAAGGTTTTTATCGAACATATTAATTAAGGCAAGCCAAAGATCGAGTCTTTCTTTTGTACTAAAAGGAAAGGTTTCTGAAGTTTTTACCTGTCCGAACCCTTATGACATCTGACACCGGCAAAACTTTATATAACCAAACAAGAAACAATCACAATCTGAGTAATTTTCATCCTACATGTTGATGTATGAATCTAATCTGATAGTAGCAAAGAGTATGGTTACCGAAAATTTTGCCATCACCAATCTCTCCTGTCCTTGCTCCATCGATTATGGTGTTGATTACAGATTCCACCTGCAACAAGTCAAAAAAGTAATTAATGGTTGGAGTCGCATTTCACTTAAAAAAAGTTTTGGTTTCTATAATCATGTACGTACCTGGTCTTTCTTAACAACGATTTCCATCTTAACTTTAGCAACAAACTTGTCTTCGGAGAACTCAGACCCTGCAAAATTCAACAACGTGTGTAAGTAAATCCATGAAGACATTTTTGACAGTAAGAAGAATCAGTGAACCTGTTCTTGAATTCGATAACTTACCACCATGTCTCTCGGTGGATCCACCTTGTGCACCAAACCCTCGTACATCCGATACAGTAACACCTCGAATCCCGATTTTCAATAAAGCCTAGAATTTTATGAAACAGAGAAAGTCAAGATTTCGTAGTAGTTTCTCACAAGTTGGTACTACTCGTCTGTATGTTAAAACAAGTAACCAGAATCTACAATTAGTAAAACGTTCAATTCAAATTCACACAGCAAACACTAGAAATATAAGAGTTGACCAGTCCTATCGAGTTCAGTTACATATATGATTTGATCTTCGCATGCATCGATAAGAACTTTCTACTCCTACTTATTTCCCAAAATATCGCCTCAAACTTCTGTTATTACGAGTTCTTCAAGCTTTGCAAACACCACAAAACTTCAATCTCATGCCAAAGTTTGACACTTTTTTGATACAAACTAATAATGAAAACCTCCTCAAGTGATTAAAGCAAAGTACAGAACTTTTCACATATCAAAGTTGAGAACATGGAAAATTCTTACCGAAGAAACATGCTGGATTCTCCATGGCCTTTTACATTCATACATGACAATGTAGAAATGAGTTAGGTTTACTTAGAAAAACAAGCAACATTGACACAATTTTGAGCTTTCTCAGAGACTTTTGAAATTCATGTTTAGAAAAGAAAAAATGGAACCAGAAGATTTAAAAGCTAACCTGACAATTGCTTCCACCTTGTAGAATTTTGAGTCTGGAGTGTAATCTACAAAACGAAAAGGAAATGCTAAGAACACACCCAAAATAGAAGCAATTTGATCGAAGAAAGCTCAGAGACACCCATCAACTGTTGTTCTTACCAAAAGAGCTTTGTGCTCTAACGAGATGGGAAAAACGAGTGTTGGTCGGTGATTTTGTGACCAAATCGATGCAAGACGGTCGGGAATGTCGGAATCCAGAGCAAATCGAAATGCAATCAGAGAAAGAAACGTTCTTTCGATCTGAATGGAAACGGAGAGAGGTTATTGAGATGGGTTTCGCCATTGAAGCCGCCATGGTTGTTGGTTGAGAGTAATAGTTTACAGACTTTGAGAGTTTTCTCCTTACCAACTGATTTCGTCCATCGAAACTGAAATAAGCGGAGGAATTATGGAACTTCGAAGTTGACGACGATTACGGTTTAGCTGATTTCGGTTTGGTATAGAAAAATTCCCGGTTTATTGAACTGGTTTTGATCGAATCCCTTTTGTCGTTTCATCTTTTACAAGCCTTCGCTCTCTTCGCAAATTCGCAGCAAGCAAGATACAGTTTCTCCGGTGAGTTGAAAAAAAAATGGTCAATGAAGATTTCATTTACAGAATCAGTACGGATCAAGAATGGGAAGAGTTTCAGAAGAATGGATCTTCTTCTGGTGGAGAGCTCGATAAATCAACGGGTTGTTATCATCTCAGCAAACTCGATCAGGTCTCTCTTCATCTTTCTACGATTTCCTCAGAAAAATCTCGACTTTTCCTTCTGGGTTTTTACTAAATCTCGAAATTTTGACCAATTTGCTTGTTAGCTTGCGAAAAAAATCAATACTTTTGATGAAATTGCTTTTCCGATTTTCAGGTACAAATGACATTGCAGAACTTTTTCTTGAATGCTAAGGAGGATCTTTACCTTCTTCAAGTCGACTCTAAGAAGGTTTGTTCATTGATGTTGACTCTATCCTTTGATATGGAAACATAAACGTGGATTCAATATGATCTTTTGGTATTAAGGATCGGTCTAGTTTGGTGAGTGGTTGATCTGGAAAACGTTAGTTTCTGGTGTGGTTAACTCCACGTTTTCAAGGATTTGAGAAATTAACTAAAGGGAATATGAAATCAAAGCAAGAAAACTTCCTAAGGCTGCCTAGTCATCTTGTGAGTGTACTCTATGATGTTGATTGATCCCAGAGTTAATTATGTGTGCTATTTTGTGGGTAGACTTTGAAACCTATACACACAGAAAATGAGTATGAAACCTTTTTCTTTACTAGCTGCATTAGGGAGTAAGACAATCCAAGTAACAGAACCATGATCGTAGGATGAACATTGTTGTAAATTTCTTATAATTTTTGTTGGAAAATTCTGAAGCCTTGTATGTGTTGATGATGTTTTGATGATGCTTTGATGATGTTTCGGAATTATTCATATGTACAAGCCTTGTATGTGTTGCCTTGTATGTACTTAAGCAGATTAAGGGCTGAGAAGACAATAGTATATACAGATTCTTAAGTCCATGGAATCGCCAGCAACAAAAGAGATTAACATGGTTTGTTCATGTGTAATTGCAGCTTGGAGATGGATTGATCTATGAAGCTGTGGATGATGTGAATAGCTTTCCTCACTTCTATGGTCCAGACAAAACTTTTCTTCCTCTTCCTCTAGATTCTGTCGTCAAAGCTGAGAAGCTAACATTCATCAATGGCAATTTCAAATGCAGCTTCTTGACTTGATGATCCCTTAATCTCCATTATATAGATTCCCCGTTTATGTATTGCAATGTTACTTTTCGTAATCGAGCAAGTAATAAAAAAAAAGCTTCTTTTTTTGTCTATTCACGAAACAAAAACAGAGAGAACTATTATTACAATGCAAGATTAAGATCTAAACCACTCTCTTCTCTTGTCTCCTTCTCTGTTTCTTCTTCTTCTTCTTCTTCTTCCTTGTCTTCCTCTTGATTCTTGGTCGGGATAATCGAATTCGATGGCATTAAGTTTAAGTCTATAGAGTGAGAGAAATCTTCGGCACGAAGCACGGGAACAATGCCGGATTTCTCACCGCCGTCCGATCTCTTCGTCGGATTCGAAGCTGCGTCGCCGGAATCTTCAGTTAACTCTTGACGTCTTCGTTTCCTCGCCTCTTGATAGTTTCTTATGAGATTAAAGAACATCTCCATCTTCTTATCCTCCAATTCTTCGTCTTCTTCAGGGTCATCGATCTCGTTGATTCTGTTGCTCTCTGTCTTTTTCTCTTTGTTCATTATAGCCATACGAAAGGGAATTAGAAAGTTTTTTGGTCTTTTTAGGGTTTCGAGGAGATCATTTATGGTGAGTGAGAGAGGATAATATTAGGTGATGGAGCTTTTTTATTCAAAAGACGAAAGTGCCCCTTCTTACCTCTCTAATTTATTAGATTTTGATTTTTAAAAAATCTGACATCCTTTTTTTTTTAAATAATAAATTTAGTTACACTGTATGTATAAAAAATAGTAAATCATGATAGCGAGATCAATATCGGTATCACTAACTTTTAATGTTGTACTCCAACAATATAATATTACGAAAATTTGTATATTCTAATCTTTAATTTAGATAATTGGATTCTATCTACCCAATTATATATAATTTTATGATATCAATTATCAATGCGATTGCATTATCAACGAAAGATAATAATGTCAATGGATTAAAGAAGTTGAAAACATGAGTTTGGCATTTGTATTAAAGAACAGGTAATCAACTATTCAATAATGGTTTCTCATTTTTTAAAAAAAAAAAAATCTTATTAGTAATTATTTCATTTTGACTAATCATGGAAAACGTGACCAGGGACAGGAAAGTAAAATATTATTCTTCTTACCTCTAAAAATATAACTATATAATATCTGAAGTAGTCACGCTGACGTCATACTTACTGTATATTCAGGTCTTTTTGTTTATTGGTTTAAAGAAAGACTATCGAACTTGATTACTGCCTATGCGTGTTTACTATTCGTTGGGTCGCAACTCGCAAAGCTTGTCTAGTAGGAGTGCTCCAATGGATCAAATTATATGCTATTGCTGGCCGTTGGATGTGGGCCAAACCCCAAGTCTTAAAATAATCTTGAATCTAATGAAAGAGATTAGAGAGTTGATGCAGCGTATCTACGTCATTCCTTTTCTGTTTTGGCTTTGGTTTTTAATTACATTCCTTTTCTTTAAATTTTTTTATTTCTTTAGATAAACTTTGATTTATTCCTTTTTTTAATCGCTTTAAGGTTTTACTCTTACAATAACTATAGTTGAATTATTAATCTAAGAAGCACCTTGCTCTCTTAAACCTCTTGCTTTCAGCTAGAACACGGTTCTCAACAAACTCAAAATCGTGTATTTCGTTTGGGCATTCGCAGACTAAACAATCGAAATCACATATCCTATCGGTTACTATCCTTTGCTCTCAATTAAAGCTCGGTCCTTTTCGATATCATGGCACCTCGCAAACCAACAATTGAAGAACAACAAGACGAGTTCCGTCAAACGTTGGAGAACTTCACTATTGGACTTCATGATGCTTTCAGAGCAGCGGTGGAAAACGCTTTAACAACAGTTTTACAAGACCAACAAGAGCGTTTTCGTGACCGTCGTCATCCTCCTCAAGATGTGGCGCATGAAGACTCTGATGATGACGGCTTACCGGAAAATTTGTTCGCCGATGCGTGATAATCACCCTCGTCAGAACAACGTCAACCGTCACGATGACCACCGTGAGGAGCGACGTGATGAGAGACATGATGCTCGGCTCGAGCTTGCGCGTGCTAATCCTTCGCGCTGGGAAACAGGGTTCAAGGTAGAAATCCCTGAGTTTGCAGGTACTTTAAACCCAGAAGACTTTCTCGACTGGCTAAACATGGTGGAGGAAGTTTTGGAGTTTAAAAGTGTTCCTGATGAGATGCGTGTGCCGTTGGTAGCAACTCGTTTCAAAATCCGTGCTATGGCATGGTGGACTCAATTAAAAGAGTCTCGTCGTCGCGCTGGTAAAGATCGCATTGACTCTTGGGAACGATTGAAGAAGCACATGAGACGAAGTTTTCTGCCTTATAACTACGAGAGGACATTGTACAACAAACTCCAAAATCTTCGACAAGGGTCTCGTTCGGTTGATGAATACGCTACGAACTTTTTCAGCATGACTGCTCGCATTACTCTAGCTGAGACAGAGGATCAACTGGTTTCGCGGTTTATAGGTGGTCTGCGTTCCCAACTTCAGCTCCCGTTGCAGCAATTTAATCCCGCCTCTGTGTCTGAAGCACATCAAAGAGCTCTTGGTATGGAACTTCAGTACAAGTCGAATTGGGGTTCAGCTAATTCGCGTCCTCGTTTTCAGTCGCAGACAGCGTCTGATGCAACGACTTCCTCACAGCTTGAGACCTCGTCTTCTCGCGGAAACTTCACCAAATCTGCTGTTCCTCCTGATTCGATCGCAGCGTCACGTCCTCAGCGAACTGGTGCTTTACGTTGTTTCACTTGTGGGGAACAGGGTCACCGCCAGACCGCCTGCCCTAATCAAACTCGCCGCAGTTTAGTTACTCTTGAGCACGACCAGTCCGATGAACCTCGTTATGATGAATATCATTCTGATCAAGATCAAGACGGTGACGTTATTTCAGGTGACATTGGACATGCCTCGCAAACTCTCGTGCTTCGCCGTAATTGTCTTGCTCCTCGCGTCGCAACAGAATCTTGGCTACGTACTACCTTATTTCGATCAACCTGCACCATTAATGGGAAGATTTGTAAGCTCATTATCGATTCTGGTAGTTGTACAAACGCAATTTCTGAAGACGCTGTACGAAAATTGGGGATCCAAACATTAGCACATCCTGCTCCATATCAACTCGCGTGGCTTAATACGGGTTCGGAAATTTTGGTTTCGCAACAGGCACTTGTTCCTTTTTCCATCGGTGTATACAAAGATTCTGTGAGCTGTGATGTTGACCCCATGGATGCCTGTCACCTCCTTTTGGGTCGTCCGTGGGAATACGACCGAGATGTGGTGCACCGTGGCAAGAGTAACACCTATACTTTTGCTTTTAACGACCGTACAATTACGTTGGTACCTACTCGCGAGCTTCCCGAGTCTGTTGTTCCTTCTTCACAGCGACCACAGAAGACACCTCCACATTCTTCTAAATCCTTGTTGATTTTACCGAAAGCTGCTTTTGAAGAAGCACTCGTAGGATCTGATATGGTGCTTGCGCTTGTCAGTTCTCCGACTGTGTGTTCTTCGTCCTCTCAGATACCATCAGCTTTCTCGGACTTGTTACAAGCATTTGCTGATGTTTTTCTTGCAGAGTTACCTTCGAGTTTGCCTCCGTTACGTGACATTCAACACCATATTGATCTTGTGCCTAATGCAGTGCTCCCAAACAGACCACATTACCGCATGAGTCCACAAGAACATGACGAGCTGCGTCGTCAAGTTGAGGAGCTTCTCCACAAGGGTCATGTTCGCGAAAGTCTGAGTCCTACAACTGTTCCTGCCCTGCTCATTCCCAAGAAGGATGGAAGCTGGCGTATGTGTGTTGATAGTCGAGCTATCAACAAAACCACAGTTCGGTATAGGTTTCCGATTCCGCGTCTAGATGATCTCCTTGATCAGATTGTGCGTGCATCTATCTTTACCAAACTGGATTTAAAGAGCGGTTACCATCAAATTCGTATACGGCTTGGTGACGAATGGAAGACGGCTTTTAAAACTCGCGAGAGTCTCTTTAAGTGGATGGTTATGCCGTTTGGATTGTCCAATGCTCCAAGTACGTTCATGCGTGTGATGAACCAAGCCCTTCGACCTTTCATTGGCAAATTCGTGGTGGTTTATTTTGACGATATTCTGATATTTAGCCATGATCTCTCTAGCCATTTGGAACATCTTGAAGCTGTGCTGCTTGTTTTGCGCAAGGAGAAACTTTTTGCAGCTCGACAGAAGTGTGTTTTTGGGGTGTCACATGTCCTTTTTCTGGGCTATATCGTCTCTGCTCGAGGTCTTGAGGTTGATCCAAGCAAGGTGGAAGCAATTAAATCTTGGCCAACTCCTCAGACAATTAGCGAGGTTAGGAGTTTTCATGGACTTGCTTCCTTTTATCGATGCTTCGTACATCACTTTAGCAACATCACTGCACCGCTTACTGATTGCATCAAAGGTTCTTCGTTTGTCTGGACTGTCGAGGCAAATACAGCCTTTGAGACGATCAAAGCAAAGCTTACGTCCGCTCAGGTTCTTGCTTTACCCGATTTTTCCTTGGTTTTCGAGTTACACTGCGATGCCTGCAAGTTTGGGATCGGCGCTGTCTTAAGTCAACAAGGTCGACCTGTAGCTTTTTATAGTGAGAAAATTGCAGGTGCTCGAGCTCGGTATAGTACCTATGATGTGGAGTTTTATGCCATTGTTCAGGCCATTCGACATTGGCGTCATTATCTTTTTCATCAAGAGTTTATCCTCTATACAGACCATGATGCTTTAAAACACTTAGGAAGTCAAGAAAAGATTTCAGCAAGGCATGCTTCATGGATTGCCTTTCTCCAACAGTTCACCTTTGTCATCAAGCATCAATTGGGTCGTACTAACAAAGTTGCCGATGCTTTAAGTCGACGCCATTCCCTGTTAGCGACACTTCATGTCTCTGTTGTGGGGTTTGCGGCATTTACTGAGCTGTATCCTAAGGATCCTTTTTTGGGCGTATTTGGTTGGACTTGACGTCCGGGAACAAGTCTGAGTATGTTTTGCAAGATGGCTTTATTTTTCTCCATAATCGTCTCTGCGTTCCTGAGTGTAGTTGGCGTTTACAAATTATTAAGGAACTTCATGAAGAAGGACACGTGGGGCGTGATAGAACTTTGAAGCTGGTGGTGGATTCTTACTTCTGGCCGAAATTACGTCGAGATGTTGCTCGCCATGTAGAACGTTGTGTGACTTGTCAACGTTCAAAGGGTCATGCGTCTAACAGCGGTTTGTATATGCCTCTGCCTATTCCTACGCAGCCGTGGACAGACGTCAGCATGGATTTTGTCTTGGGATTGCCTCGTACTCAACGTGGTAATGATTCTATATTTGTGGTCGTAGATCGTTTCTCCAAGATGGCTCATTTTATTCCTTGTAAGAAGACTACAGATGGGGTTCAGGTGGCTACGCTCTTCTTCCGTGAGATCTATCGCATTCATGGGCTTCCTTTGTCCATTGTCTCCGATCGTGATTCTCGGTTTTTGAGTCATTTTTGGCCCTCTTTGTGGCGTTTTCTCCGCACAAGTTTGGATATGAGCTCTGCATATCATCCT